AACGACTCCCGTAATGCCGTTCTGCATGAGGCACATACTGAAATATCATATACTACTACCCTATCTGCTGTGTGTGTATGTTTAAATGCCATTGGGATTGCTTACAGATCATCATTTCGTGTGCAAACGAACCGGCGAATCCGATTGTTTCCCATGAGTATCATGTGCTCTGCAAGATGATTGATGTAGAGGAGAACTTCATAGAGGTGACGGCTCTGGGGGAGGACCTAGCCATGAACGTGATCAAAATGTGGATGAAGACAGCGTGTCGCGATCTTAACAACTATCAGTGGCGTTTGGTGGCCAATGCGATTAGCAAATGCTCCCTGCCCATATTTGTGAAGCTGGTTTTTGCCGAGATATGTCGATGGCGTAGCTATACGCGTCCGCAGGAGACCCATCTAGCCAATACGGTGATGGACTCAATTATGTTGCTCTTTGAGCGTGTGGAGAAGCAACATGGTCGCATCCTAGTCTTTCATGCACTAGCCTACATAACGGCCTCCAAATCGGGACTATCCGAAAGCGAACTTGAGGATTTGATCTCACTGGACGACAAGGTCCTGGATGATGTCTACCAGTATCATATGCCACCAGTGCGCCGAATTCCCCCACTACTGTGGACGCGCATCAGAAACGATCTGCCCAACTACTTGAGTGAACGGGAAGCGGATGGCGTCAATGTTATGAACTGGTACTATAAGTGCGCGTCTTCTAAACTTGTGATAATGACTTGAAAAGACGCTGGATTTCATCAACTGACTTACTGACTGACTGCTTGTATCTAAATCTAATCTTATCCTTGACAGTAGCTTTTTTACACTAGTTCGGGAAATGGGAAACTATTGCCATTACCCTTCGCATCAAATCGAGTTTTAGCTCATTTTCAAGGACCTATTTAAAAAATATCCGAAAATGTGTACATCCTATAAGTAGTAAATCGGTTACAAACTTGTATTAGAGATATTTTAATGGGTATACGTTTATTATGATTGTTCCTTTAAAGGATTAAAAGCTAGGGGTGGAAAATGGGTTTTTTGGATATTTAGAAAACCTTAATCCGGACAAAACCGGGTACTAACATCTACAGTAGAATATAAAATTGTTTTCGGAATTGCACTTTGTTTTTGTTTGCAATTTGTTATATTTATAGAGAGGACACTTTGAGCTTAACTTTTAAGAAAATTGTATATATATATCTAAATAGATATAACAATTGATTATTGTTAGAAAGTGTTTATATTCTGGATCAGCATTAACAAGCAGGTTTATATAGTCATGTCCGTCTGAGCGTCTGTCTGTTTCTATGCAAACTAAGTCTTGAAGCTATATCACACAGGTCCGTTTTTCTGTTGCAGGCATTACATATGTAGGGACCGGCCGGATCGGACCTCTATATCATATAATTTCCGTGTAAGCGATCGGTCAAAAATTAAGTTCTTATATGAGAAATCCGACATTTACTGGCTAATCTATGCTGCTTATATACAAGCCAAATCTTATCGCACTAACCATTAAATTAATCATATATTTGTACAGCATATTATATTCTATATTATACATACTTAATGTGCTCCACAGGTACCACAGACAGTTCAAGGACACAGCGAAGGAACGCTACTTTAAGAACATGAACATGGCCATATATTTTCATTCCATGATTGCAGATTATTATTTGGGGATCTGGGGCGGCGGCATACCGAAGCCGTTTAAGTTTACGGAAATTCAGAGACATCGTTTCGGGCTGGCTGACAAGGAGGGCTCCGCTGATCGCAAGGTGCCCATACAACCGCTGGTCTTCACCAGCAAGGATGGCCTTTCCAAACGTTACAACCTGCGTAAGGTATGTGAACAATGCCAATCCAAGCCCAATCCTCGCCTGACTCTGGCTATCTCCCTGTAGTTCGGTGAGCTGCCTTTTCATTTTGTGCGCTCGCGGCGCTTCAAGGATCTGTTCGAGCACGTGCTCTTCAATTATGAATGGCTGCATGCCAAGCTCTCGAGCTGCCCCCTGCAGGCGGTACTGGCCGACTTCGAAGATGCCTCCACCAATACTGAGGACAAGGAGTCGAGGCGTGAACTGATGCTGGTGGCGGATGCATTGCGCTTGGGTGGTGCCATCTTGGCCATATATCCCAACATGCTAGCTCCGCAACTTATCGGACGTCTGCTGCCCGAGATTGGCGGCAATCCTAATATCAAGATGTTGCTGCGAGCCTGTGATCGTAGCGGACCCAAGGACTGCGCCTTAATTCCGGTCAATCATTGCCTGCACACACCCGGCGGACCACTCAAGGTGCGCATAGAAGGTGGTTTCCAGGCATTGCTTATTGGACTCTCTTTTGCAGTACTCACTGGAGGGTCATCAGTTTGCTGTATTTGCCTTCTGTCTGACCAGCGATATGCGTTACATGGTCTCGATATCGACGCACTTCATTACCTTTGATTTGTCCACCTCGGATCTAACGCGTGACGTGAATCCCGGCATCGAGGGCATCATGCAGCAGCTGGTGCTTAGCCCGGACAACAAGTGGGCAGCTGCCTACTCCAACAACAATCAGACGGTGCTGCTCAACATGCTCTCCAGTGAGTTTGTAGTGATTAACAGTCCATTCGAGGAGAGCGACGGACCAGTTAGCGGCTTGTATCTGCTGAACCAAAAGTAGGTTGCCATGTGGTTGAATTCACCTAGCTACTAATCGCTCCTTAGTTTATTTATCATTTGCAAGCTGCGTTGGGCTAAATTTGATATGCGTGGCAATTTGGTGGATATCTTTGAAGTACCGGGCCAGATTACGGATTGGGAAATATTGAGTAAGTGGCTCTCCCTAATGTTGCCTGGGGCATCGAATACATATCTATGCTTCTCATGCAGCCATGGAATTCTTCAGCCCAAGAGATTACAATGTCGTCTTCTGGTCGGGCTCCATTAATGAAATACGTTTGCGTTTGGACTCATGCCGCTCAGGCAACTGCTCCAATTCGGTGCACTTCTTCAGTGCTCTAGTCATGAACAAAGGACGCACGCGTGCCTATGGCTGTGCCAGCAATGATAACTTTGAAGTATCCGTCTACGATTTCACTGATAACGAGGAAACTGGTGAAATATACTGGACCTACGTAGATAAACTGCCCCGCTTTGAGAATGATGACAAGGAAATGCTGCTGCAGCTGCGCTTGGATCAGCATCAGCACGATCGCATGCTCCTTGGCACCGCCGGCAAGGGCTTTGTCATCTGGGATTTTGGCAGCCAGGAGAAGGAGAATGAGCGCGAACCCATAACTGAGGGGGCAATGTACCTGGCTCTGCCGCATGGCGTTAGGAACATAACCACACGTATCATGCAATCGAATTCCATTATGGTCAGCTCCAAGTTGGACTATGCGGTGGCTGGCGTACGCAAGAATCTGTACGTTTGGTGCCTCCACAGCGGACAGCTGGCCAAGGTCTTGGATGCACATTTCGGACGGATTATACAACTAGAGCCGCTGACCATTGGCAATTGGAACAATTTGGTTACCTCCTCCATAGATCGGTCCGTGAAGGTGTGGAACATAAACAATATATTTGAAAAGGTTCACGTGATTGATCGTCATGAGCTGCAAATCGATGACATCAGTCTCTCCGAGGTGGATATAGCTGTGACGGTGACACGCAGCTGTGTTGGCGTCTGGGAGACGCGCTCCGGTCGCCTGCTCGCCAAGCTGGCGGACAGTCCCTTAGGAGCAATTGTTACGTATGCTGAAATCACGCCAGACGGTCGTTATATTATCTCTTCGGAAACGGGAAAATTTTTAATCTGGAATCGTGTATCCGAGCAAGTCGTTTATCGCGATGATCAGCCGGGCATCCAGCAGATAACGCTTATGGATTATGGTTATAAGGTTCTAACCGTATCGGTGCCCAACATCAATCAGCGGGATATCATTGCGGCGGCGTCGGCGGGATCCGATGAAGCGAACCGCTTAACGGCCATAACAACACTCCGTTCGATTCCAGGTTAGATGGATATGAACTTACGAACATATCACTCGAGAACTAACTTTATACTCTTTTCTACCAGAGGGAACTATACTATTTCGCTTTGATTTTCCAATACGCATGGTGACTGGCATGCCGTTTCGCCAATCAGTTATCACAGCTGACAAGGCCTACATCATAGTGGTTACTTTGGACAAATCGAACAAGGATTGCCTGGGGGTTTATAGCGCCACAAATGGCGCATTCGTATCTAAAATACTGCTCAAGGGTTGTGCCATGAAGGTGGGTCAATCCTCTCTTTGTCCATTCCATATTTTATTCTATATGTACTGCAATTACAGGAGGTTTTCTCGCTTGTACCCATGCCGCACAAGGCCAATCAAGTGGCTGTGATCAGCAGCGAGAAGGGCAGCATTATGGACATTAAGAGCAAGAAGCATATCCGCTCCATAGCTAAATGGGGTGGCAGCCTCACACGCGATGGAAAATGCGGCCTGTATGCCCCAACGAGAGGTGGCCTGGAACTATTAGAGCTGCGCAAAGGCACCACGGTGAAAACCTTTATACCAAAGGTGGCCGAGGGCGTCTTCTCCGTCATTTGCATATTTACGGAAAATGACGAGTATGTGGCGTATTACCATAGCGGCAGGAAGACGATTCGCGTCTTTCGCACCGCCGACACTGAGATGATAGCCAACTATAGGCTGCAAGCCGAGCTTACCGCCATCAAGAGCAGCAAAGATGGACGTGCCATTGTGCTGGGCACTGTCGATGGTTGTATGTCAGTGTTGGCCATTGTGGATCCCAAAAAGGAGGAAATGATGGAGTACTTGAATGAGCTGCCGTCGCGCGATGAGAACTGGAAGGCCAAGCTAGCTAAGATGAAGGCGCGCGTTGGATTCAAGGCGGCCATACGAGTGGCTACCATTTCCTCGCGCTATGCCAGGCCCAAGAATGGCGACGGTGACGGGGAGGATGAGGAGCTTACGGAAATGACCGAGGACATGCCCGTGGCGGATTAGATGAAGTATAAATATAACATTTATTTTTTCTTTTTCATAATGGGCATGTTACAAAAAATACGTGTATGTGGATGCGTGTGTGTGTGTGTTGTGGTTGTTAAACTTGATATAGCTTAAACTAAATAATTGTTAAAAAACAAAGCGAAAATACTAGCGTAGTAAATTGTTATCTAGTTACGAGCTTGCATGTAGCATATTTTTAATGTTTAAATAATAGTTTTTCTTTTTAAATCGCACTGCGCGCTTCGGCCCTTTGGCCTGGCTTAAAAAAATTTCAATTGGAAACAGCGACATAACAAGGCTTATACATATGTTTCGGGGAAAACACAATTCTTTTATTAACACACAAATCTTTAACAAATCTTTCAACTTGAAATTTGAGTTCATTAATAGGAAACGCTTTAAATGATTGTAAAATAAGCAAGGAACTAACTTAACGACATGTGGAACATACTAAAAATTGTAAGCTCAACTCAGGCAATCGAAATACGAATACGCCAATACCAAATCTAACCCAGTGCTAATACATAGATAAATTTTTGCAGTACATTTGTTAGTAGTAATTAATAATAGTAGGTATTTTAGTATGCAATTGTTACTCGTTAATGTAGTTGTTGTTAACCTGCCTTTCCAAGTGTTGCTTCGATTTGTTACTAAAAATTATGATTAAACCGAGAATCTATAAGCATACATATTTATGTTAAATAATAAATTGTTAATGTGGTTTAAGCTGGCGACCTAAGTGCTAGAGAGCTTATCTCGTTGCTGTTCAGCAATAATATGTAATATAAATATATATAATAATCCGTAGCAGAACAGCTATACAGTGTTAACTAAATAGTAATACAGCGCGTCCACACTTATTGGGCGTGATTTTCCTTTTTAATCTGCGCCAGTTTTGCCTGTATGTGCTGCAGGCGGTTGGGCGACAGTTCGGGTTTCTGAAGAAGAAAGAGAATACATTGTAGCTTGTATAAGGCGAAATATTTTAATCGTATAATTTAATTAACTATGATTTAACTCAATTCTATGAACAATTAAATGTTGGTCGTTAAGGAGTTCTGACCGCACCCACCTCACGTCGGATGAGCGACACTTTCTGTGAGTTCATTGAGTTTAGGCAGAGATTCTCGTCGGCCACCCTATTGTCCAGTATATTGGAGCCATCATCCACGTTGTGCCGTGTGGACATCATGTTCTGTAAACGGTCCATCCAATAGTCTGGATCATGCACGGCATTTTGATAGTTGACATCTGTGAGATAAGAACGTGTAGCAGCTGCAGATTCATCCAATTCATATACATGTTAGTAGAGAGGCGCGGGTGGTTAATAAGGATTTTGTGTGGTAGTTCTGGGCTTAACTAACCTGTACGATTATCAGGCGCCTGCGTGGAGCCTGCATTCTGATTGCGTTCGATTTCAGCGAGCCCCTCCTCAATGTATTTGTGGAAAGTAGCGCTAGAGCCTTGCAGAAAAGTACTCAGATCTATATCCGGATTTTGCTGCTGCAGTGATAAAAGTTGGTTTAGTATTGAGCTGAGCCAAGCAATACAGCAACGTACCTTAAAGTCATAAAGCTTTTGCAGTCCTTGCTGTTTGGTATCCTTGTCCGAAATCAGCTTAAAGATCTGCGATACTGTGTCATGTGTTTGATGCGATATTCGCTTTCCTCCAATATCCTTAGCTGAAAATTGCTGTCGCTGCGGCGAAACACCAGTGCCGGACACAGTGCTATCCTTTTGGAAATTCTATAAAAAGCGATTTTTTCCAGATTAGGACATACGTACGGTTCGCAAGCTTACCTTCAAGATGCGTATCAAATAGGTGTGTAGTTCCGAATGTGTGGGTATCTGATTGAGATGCTGTAATATAGCATTACCCTTCACCTTGGCCATGTTGTGTATTATCGTTTTGACGGTGCGCAGTGGCGTATCTGAAGGTCGATTTTGCCACCAGGTGCTGGGCAGTGCTAGCATAAATTCATGCACCTCCAAGATGACCGCATCATAGTTAAGTTCGTTGGAGCGCTCAGGTAGCATTTTAATATTGCGCCAAATGCACTTCATCAGCAAATCCGTGAACTTGGGCAGACCGGCGACGGGGCAGGTCTCTCTGAGCAAACGTATTAAGGCGCTGCAGGAGATTAGAAGAGTGAGTATTCTGTGTTGAACCACTGTATTACGTTTCGCTTACCAGTATATATTTGTAAAGTTGACCTTGTCCAAAACTTTGAGGCATATGCCATTTATTACTTTATTGTATTGGCTATCATCCCCGCTGGTCAGCTTTTGATCGGCCAGCAAATGGAGCAGCGAGGACATGAGATTCTTAATACACGCAATGCTCAGCGTTTTGCCGAGGATATTGGCATTGAAAAATGTGTACAAGATGGAAAGCAATGGCTGATAGACAACTAGCGCCTGCGATAAGGGCAGCTGCGAGAGGTTCTTTAAGTAAAAAAACAAAAATATGCGTAATACCCTACATTAGGAGTTCAAGCGGCCCAATCGACTCACCTTTAATTGTGCCAGCACATTTTGTATAAATATTTCCTCGTAGTCGCGCAACACGGCCTGTTTTTCAGGTGCCTCAATAATCTCCGTTAGCTCATTGATGGCGGCACGCGCTTTAAGTGTGTCCGTGCTGCTGACTGCCTTGATGATCTTTACCAGCTGAGGATCATGCTTGGGCAGCACATCGGCCAGGCTATATGGAACAGCAGATTAATAAGAATTTCAAGTAATAACTGATTTTCAACCTACTTGGGAACATTGTTTTCCAAATGGGATTGGTTTGTCAACAGCTGCTGCTGCGGCATTCGCATGGGACTGCGGTAAGGTGAAATGCCGCTGGCCATGCTGGGATTCGACTGCGGCGATGTGGTTAGATTTTGTTGTATGTAATGCGAGCGCGAAACGAGCCGATCGAATTTATCCTGCGGATACTGAAAGCCGTCTCGTGTTGGTATGACCTTGATGGGCTCGTAAAGCAGCGAAATGTCCACTGTGGGCTGCTCCTGAAAGACCATTTGATCGACGCGCACCCAGTTCTTCTCGATCTCGGACATCACCTGCGGATCCAGGCCAAACGGGCCACTTGTCCGCTGCTGTGCCGCCTGCTGCTGTTGGAGCTGCAGTTGTTGCTGCAGTTGCAGCACCTGCGCGGACGGCGCCTGATCAAATGTACTGTAGAAAGCGAACGAGAATGTCAATTTACAAAAATATATGTGTGCCCAGCATAGGCACTACTTGAAACATATACAATGATAGTATGGTAGCGACTGAAATACTTGCTATAAATATCGAGACAACAAAGGCAAATGTAACTGAGCAAATTATAGCAAAAAACAGAGCACAAGCCAACACAGTAATAACAACAACAAACAAACAAATAAAGCAAAACAAATTGTGCATGGAAACATATAAACATTTATAAGAAAGGAACGCCACTTTACGCCTGTCGAGTCAGCGAGTGTAAGTTCCGCTCCGTCAGCTTGTTGCTTTGGCCACGCGCATTTAACTCTGGCTGCTGGCAGCTAAGTCACAAAATTAATAGAAAAGTAAATAAAGCCAAATTATACAAAATAAAAAAAAACTTAAGATTGAAATAAAAAAAAAACAGGAATGGAAATTACTTAAATTAATACGAATCGATTAACATTGATCGATATATTTGGTAATAAAATATGCCTCGCTATTTCAGCTGGTTTAACTTATAATATTGAAGGCATTAGGGAATATAAATTATCACTTATACTAAACACATATTCTAATATTAAAAATGGAATATAAAATATTTCTAAATTTAATTTCGCTTTCAAAAATAATTAGACTATTTTTATAAAATTTTGAGTTCAAAGATTTGCCTTCAAATTGTATTAACTCTCTTAAGTCTGTTTGAAAAGTCTTTTGAAACTCCCCATTCAAAGCAAAGCAATTTCCATTCCTGGAAAACTGTAAACAAGACACACTCACGTTCTAGCTGAGTTCTAGATTAGTGCTCGATCGTAGTTTGCTTTCGTGTTAAAATGCACTTACCCCTCTTCTTCGGGCGGTGGCAATTCGTCGCAGCCATTTCCCACTGTATCCTCAATTTCAATGCTGTCCTGCTGCACCACTTGAGCTGGCGGTTTGAGACCAGTCGGCATATCTGCTGGCGCGGTTGGTTTTCTTGTCTTTTTGGCGCGCTTGATGCGCTCGTCCAGCATCGAAAGATCTTTCTCGTTGAGCTGACCAATTAGCTTGTAGATCTTTTCACCAGCCAGGAAATATGCCATCACAATGCAGTTGAGTGCCGCATTGCGCACAGAGTTATCGCGATCGGAGATTTGACGCGCTATTTCCTTGAGAGCCACCTGCTGCGATGGCTGGCAAATGCCCAGTCCATAGTTCTCAATGAGAAATGTCAACTCGTCCAGGCACTCGGTGCGCTGGCGTGCATTTTTGGATTTAAGACCATCCATCACATACGAGAAGACTTTGGTGAAGGGATACAATAGGTTTATTTGTCGTAGCACGCGACGTACGCCGTTTCGGACAGCATCCTTTGGGTCACCAATCTATTACATAACACCCAAAGTTTAGAAATAGGAACACAAAATTGGTATTGGAACTGACCTTCAACAACAGATGAGGTACAAAGCTGCTGCCCTCATTCTCAGCCATCATGTACTCCATTTCGACCAGCATCTGGAAAACTTGCGCTAGATACTCGAGACCCTTAATGAGCACAGAAGGGTTCGTATCGTAGAAACGCAGTGTCAGCCACTTGAGTATTAAATCGAGATTACAAATCAGCGCCTTGCTATTATTTGGCAAATCCTCGCTCAACTGTTCAATGACTTTCAAATGATAACTGCAATGAATAAAAAAAGTTGTTGTTAAGTAGGACTTATAAAAAAATATTTAAATTTATAGAATTCCTATTTTACATGAAACCCAAAAATTAATTGATAAATACTATAGTTTTTAAGTACTCTTTCTGGGCTAACTCCAAACGTTAATTGTAAAATTCATATTCCGCATTTATAATGCCGATTTTAAATTTTGGAATTGCAATTCCAAAATAGGATTTCGAAATAACCGAATACAGATCATATGTTCCGCAATTTTCATATACTATATTAGCAAACAACAGATTTTTACCTTACATTATATCACTTAATTTCATTAACAAAAATTCGAAGTGAATTTAAAGCGAATATCAAAACCACTTGCAGGAATCCCATTATGATGTATATATACATATATTTGGGGATACGTACAAAAATATAATGGTTTTTGAATAAGGAACTAGAGTTTCGTGATATACAAAAAAAAGAGAGGTTTGACACCGAAATTGTAACTTTAAATTTGATAGCGTGTCCGGTTTTAAGAAACGAATATAGATTATTTAACAACAGATTTAGTGTTAGAACAGTTTACCAACGTTCGCTTTGCGCTTTTGGGAGAGCTGGTTGGCTATTATGGGCGGGCGCAGAGTTAACATACCGAAAGTCGTCGTGGAACATGTTGGCCATCATTGCCTTATTCACATTGGCTGTTGTCATCTGATCGCGCAGCAATTCCGTAAACTCCTCTCGTGGGGTCGTGAATGTCCATTTAAGTACGCGCATTTTTTGCTCATCGATGAGCCGTTGATTTTTGATGCTGTTAACCGCCAGCAGCGGAGACGTGTCCACATCCTCCTCCTTCTTGCGAGAAGCAGCGGTTGTTGTTGCTTTGTCACCGGCGGCACCGGCTGCTTTGGCCGCACCCTGTTTTTGCGCCACGGCACCGCCACCGCTGCGCACCACCTTCTTTGTTTCTTCGGGTATGGGCGCTTGCTGTTTGCCTTTGGGCAACGGCTTCACGGGCAAATTGGGACGCGCCTTCTCAAGAGCAGCCATGATGTCCTTCTTAGAGGCGGGCTTCTGTTTGTCCAGTGCACGCGCCATAGCCTCGAAGCCAAGATGAATCATAACAGCCAGCACAGCTTCGTTTGCGTTCTTGCGAACTTCCGCGTTGCGATCACAGATGTGCGCATACAAATGCGGCACTATTGTGGTTAGCTCCTCCTTGGATATAGATTTGGGTGGCAAAAGCGGCATCTTTTCGGCCAACCACGCCCACAACTCGGTCTTGAGCGCCGGGGAACCACTTTTCAAGGCATCGGCTATCATTTCGCTCTCAAAGAACTCCTTGTAGCCCCCCTGTTCGCCAAAACTGTTAATGCAATTGAGGGCCGCGGCACGCACAAAGCTTTTGCTGTCGCCCAGCGCATGCAGAAAACCAGGAAAGAGGACACGCACATGACTGCGACAGCCGGCGCCCATAGCTGTTGAGAGCTGCTCACAAATAGAAAGCGCTGTCTGCGCTATTTTTGCATTGGAATCGAGAAGACGATGAGCGAGTGCTGGTGCCAAATCACCAATGCTCGACTTGATCAGCTTGGCCTCACTGATGATGGCCTGTAGCTTGGTAAGTCCCTCATTTCTTGTTTTCCAATCTTTGTCGGACATTTCCTTCAGCAGCGATTCGGTGATTTGACTTGAGATGTCAACGCGTGGCAGCAAATCGGCTAAATTAACGGGTTCAGGTGATGCCCGTTCAGCGCCATCCTCATCCTCATCATCGTCGGCATTTGTGCTACTGTGCTGCACACCACGTATAGGCTTGGGCGGTTTTTCTCCCAAATTCTTATTGAACTCGGTTTGAATTTGAGACTTGAGTGCTGGTTTCTCGCTATCGAAGAATACCATCAATGCGTTGCCCATATACATGGTCATGGTGCCCACCAGCTGGATGGCAGCGCCGCGTACTGTCGGATTCGTACTCTGGACACCTTTGCGAACATCCTCTATAAGCGTTTTGGGCTGGACTTTAAATCCAAATTCAATGATAGCCTTGCTAATCCAGTTGAATGACTCTGACTGCACCTTGGGCGACTTTTGCTCAAGGGCAAAGCTCAGCACTTTGCCAACCACATGCTCCAATTTAGTAGCATCAGCCAAAGCGGTGAGCACATCGGCGGCAGCACCACCATTCTTGGCGTCGGCCAGTTTCTCCGTTATCTCATTGACAACATGGTCCACCGTAATAGGTGTGACAGAAAAATTTTCAGCGATACATCGTATTGCGTCCAGTTTGAGCTTGAGAACTTGAAAGTTCATCTCCTTAAGGCCAGGCTTACGTCCGCTTATAGTACGCACTAGAGTTTGAGATATGCCTGGCTGTTTGGCATCATAGCTTGGAATTTGAGCTAGCAGCTGTTCCATAGCCGCCAAGCGATTTTTCCAGTTGCTATCAACCAAACCGTTCAGTATTTCGGGTGGGAGCAGCTCATCCGCCTTATCCTGCACCTCCTCTGGGGTTAACTCGCGTTCTGAAGCCATGTTTTTACCACCGGCCGCCTTGGACAATGTAGCCGGCGCTGCACCAGCTGCAACTCCAGGTTTCTTAACTGCCTTTCGGGCACCTGTTGTCGCAGGACGCGTCACTGGCTTTGGCTCTGTGCTGCCTCCGCTGGGTTTGGCTGTAGCTGCTGCTTTAGCGGCTGGTGCTGTGGCCGGACGAAGCTCTTTTTTTGGAGCCGTTACTTTGATTTTGATTTCGGCCTTGTCGTGAAACTCCTTGATCTTGCTCATCTTCAGCGGATCCACATCGACCAGCAGCGCGGCAAGCGCCTTCTCGCTCATTAACTTCATAAGCGTACCCAGTGCCTCGGCGCTGCTGTCACGCACCGTGGGATCAGATTCGTTTAACGTCTTGATCAGAGAAGTGGTCAGAAGCTTGACAAGTTTCTTGTTCAATGCCGTTGGCTGTGTGCGACATAGAGCACGCGACAGAAACAACGCCGTCTCGGACTTGACGCTCGGATTTTTATTGGTCAGCGCTTCCACGATATGCTCCTGTTGTGCCTCCAGAGTTGTAGATGCATAAATCGAATCCATGGCCTCACGCAGTGCGCTCACCACGTTGGGCTTCTTCTCCTTAAATTTTTCCAAAAGGGCCGGAACGCAAGCCTTAAAATATTTATGGATATGGATTACTTAATATTCTACAACATATTGTGGGGTTTAACTCACCGTGGCATAGGACGAAAAACGCTTGGAGAGACCTTTGGCCAGCATGGCCAGACATTTGCCTGCCATGGCCACAAGTACTACGTTTGAGTCCTTAGTAATAACCTTTTTCAATGCGCTGACCAGAGCGCCATATTCACCGCCCTCCACCTTAGGATTGTCCGTGAGCAGCTTTTCCAATGCTTCTAAGGACTCTTTGCGCAATGTCCATTTCTTCTCGTCGAGTTTCTCGTAAAAATCTTTGGGCATCTTGGAGAGTATATCAACGGGATCAATAAGATCCATGGGATCAACATCCTCTACGCCAGCTTCGGCTTCGTCATCTACATGAACAGATCAAAATACTCATTTTAAAAAATATACTAGAATCGGCATTAAAAGGGGTAAAACATTATTCAAAAGTGGAATAAGATTGTGTATAAAAAATGTTATTTGCCTTCTTAATCATGATATACATTCAATGCGTTTTCTAGATGTATATACCTCTGCAGCTGCCATAAAACCACATCATTTTAGAGGGCTTTTATATTCGTTATTAACATTAATATTACAGAAATTGAGAAGCAGGAACAATTTTAATGAGGTCGTAAAGTGCCAAAAGCTATTGTCTGATTTTCAAATTTGTTTAACTTTTTTCTATACACAAGAAATATGTATATATTATTATTTTTTTTTTTTTAGATTTTGAATATGTTATTCATACAATATAATATCAAAAAGTTAATACGTAATTAATTGATGACATTTCTTTTAATCTATATATTTACTGGGCTACTTTTATATTTTGATTAAGATACATAAACATATCTTTGATTTGTATTTAATTTTCGAAATTAAATAAAATGTATTATTTTTTTTTAGGTTGGTTGGCTATTAAATATAGTTTAATTTAAAGTTCTTTCGGTCAAAATAATAAGCCTTTAGCAACAAGCATAAATGTATATATACTGATATATTTTTTAGTTATGTTACTAAAAGACAACTAGATATAGAAGAAAATATAATATATACATTAAAGATCTGAGGCAACAAAATTCTTTCCTAATGTCGAATGCTAAGAAAAGTGTGTGAAATGTAAAGGGTTAATCAAGAAAACCAGAATATACCTAGGCGCGGGTATGTATACTTCGGCGAGCAATAAAGGCGTTTTTGACTTAATGCTTGCTTACGATATTTCTTGAATTTTCGGTTTGATGGTGGTGTATTCTCTGCTTACAGGTATATATAGTAGTTAAAAATAATTAGCTTAAGCATCGTCTTTACCATTGTACGAATCCTCCGTGGCGGCCTCGTCCGCAATCTTTGCTTGTTTCTCTTGCTGTGATTTAAGGTATCTGAAGGTAAAGTGAATTTAGATGTGGGCAACTTGTACGTCGAGCGGATGTAACTCACCTGGATGGTTCAGCGCGTTCGCCTTTTAGTTTGTCAAACTCGTCCTCTAACTCTTTAAGGGTTACCTGCGGCAACGAGGCAATGTGCGTTCTCATGACTGAGCCAATCCAGCGATAGCTTTCAACCGCCAACTGTTTGGTTTCATCGCGCACTGCCTTGTCGCGATCGGCCAAGAGTGGTGCTAGCTTTTTGATGAACGGCTTGACAGGGATTACCTTGGAGCCAAATTCGCGCATTGCTTGTGTCGTGGCTGCTACGCAGGCTGATACAATTTTTGGATTTTTATGGTCCATGCCCTTTATGAGCTCTTCCAAGACCGCCTCATGCTTCTCTATCTCAACATACATGAGCGTGACCTGCACGGAGAGCTCTTTTGTCTTGGTCTTGGGCGCTGCAATGCATTTCTGGACAATGCCCGACATAACATCCCCGACAGTGCGTCCAGCTAAGCTGCTGTTTTCAACGAATATCAGCGCCGCCTCCAGGCCCTTCTCCTGGGCAAGGGCATTCGAATCGACAACCATTTTCTTGATGAGCCCCGCATATTTCGACCATTCCGGTGATTTCTCGTCGTCCAGTTCGCGAAAAAGCTTGGCTGCCTCCTCATAGCCATCGACACGCGCTTTCCACAGCTTGTGTACGCAGCGCTCCTCAACGGGTAACTTTTTGTATTCGGTATCCTCGGCCATGTCTGTCGTAGCGAGCTGTTTGTCCTCTCTGGTTGGTATCAGCGACTTGGTCTGTGGTTTAGCTCAACGAATACGCGACTAGCTAAAAGCGAAATATTCGATTGGTTTCAAAACTGTTTGGAAACTTTTTGTTAGTTGAAATTGAAAATCAAACGCAAAACTAACTCAATCGAGCAGAACTTTGCTCTCAGCCAATGGCAATCAAAGTTAATGTTTCAAAATTGAGCTTAATTGTGGATGAAAAGTTCGGTATAGGAATGCATCCGACACGCTTGAGGAACGCTACTTAGAGAGGCGACAAATTTAAATGGGTCGCAATGCCATATTTAGAATTTGCCGTCGTTTTGCTGCTAAATGCTATTCTTATGGCATATACATTTATTTTTAACAATCGCAAGGATTGGGCACTGGGAACGCACCCATTATGAGCTCATAGTCCGCGCACTAATCAGCGGCAACCCGCAAATCAGACATGTAAATAGGTTCTCCTACCCTTAGTAAATAAGCAACGCCACAGAAACACGCATAGCTTGCCAATTATAGTAGAGTATTTACCGGTCGTTAATATCATTTACCCTTTTTTAGATCTTTCTCTTTCTAGCTCAATTCGCTCTTCGCTCTTACCGAGAGAGCGTGTGAGTGACGCTTGTTCACTCCCTCGCTTTTTCGAATTAACGGATCAATCATAACAGCAAATGTTTCTCAAAAGGCGTCATGCGTCAACAAAATGCCGTCGATTACCGTTTCTTCTCGGTGCTAATTAAATATGTTTTTATTAATTTAAAGTAGCTACAATTATATCGCTACAATTCAACGCATAAGGCAAAACCGCAATCCACGCCCACAGCAGCGGCGCCACTAACAACAACAAAATGTGTTGTTATGCGCCTTACTAAATTCTGTTGCAGCACCCACCATTAACATGTAAACCAAATTCCCATAGGGCAGGCAGCTGGGCAGCTGGAGCAACGTAATGCAATAACTTCGATTTTTCACAGGCTCGTAGCTCGTATAAGGCAAGCACAAAACCAATACACGCACACATACACTTCCACTGGCACGGCTTTGTAGCACTTAGCAAAGCGAAATGTTAAGCTGTTCCGGTAACAAAAAATAATATAAAGTGAACCAATTTTTAATTGGCTTGCACAACTATCTTACAAAACAATAAAGAGAATTTTGCGTGTTGTAAATAAATAATAAAACTATGCACAACTTTTAAACGACGACAGCGACGCTCGCTGTCTGTGAAATACTTGTCGACGCTTACGTGTGAATGTCAATGCAGCATTTCCATAAACAACGCTCTGCTAATCGAGGAGCAGCTATGTTAAATCGATGCAATGAGTAACAGTGGATAACAGCCCGCGCATTAAAAAACTGGTCTATTTTATAGTTAATTTTCTGTTTATTTTTTACTCCACCAAGTCCCCCACGTGTTGTGGCTCGATGAGCGTTATCTCTAGCAGGTGTATCGTATGCCCACCCATGTATTCAAGCAAATCCACGCCGGACTGCTTGCCAATATCATCCATATTTATGCTCGATGCATGTAGTTTCCATTTCTTAAGTAACGCTTCTATTGACCAATCCGCGCTGCGCTCCTGATATGTGAATATAAATTTGGCCCCACGATTGCGCTCCAACAGGAACGCCACCGTCACAATGATATCCTCAAATACGCTGGGATCGTAGAAGCAATCTGCCGCTATTATAATGTCCAATGCGGGCAGCCGAAAAACGCTGTTCAGCAACAGGCCCCAGCTTAGACCAACGACGTCGATGTCAACGCCCGGTTGCAGTTGATTGGCTAGGCAGGATTTGCGTATGTGTGCTAAGGATTTGGGGAGAATACAATTGTCGCTGAGCACAACCTGAGCACCGCACTTGGCGGCCAGTATGCCGGGCAGTGCAGTTCCAGCACCTAGTTCTAATATGCGCTTGCACGCAAGTGTTTGCCGACGCTCCCACAGGAAGTAGGCGAGAACTGGAGCGCTGGGCCAGGTATAGAATGAGTAGGCTCCCTGCAGAATCTATATTTATACAGTAATTAAAAAACATTATTTTGCAATGCAAATCTTTTTTATGTACCTCTGGTATTCTAATTTCTAAACGATCTAGGGTTGTATCACCGCCGCCTCCAACGTTGCAGCTGAATACAAATTTGCGAATGTGCTCGGCGGTAGCTGTGGCAGCCACAATATCACTGTCGTCGCTGCTGCCGTTCATGTGAAAACGCATTTTTACACAAGCGGACGTTTAAAAAAATTGCTTTTTATTTACAAATAAGGCCTTAACAACAATCAACACTATTTGTTTACAACCAGTTTGCCAGCATTTTAGAGATGAGCACAATTCGCGTGAGCAACATTTGCGTCCCATGTCGACCGCTATTCCCAAATAACGCTTACACAGCTGCAGTCACATTAAACCAAACTCGCATTAGTCAAAGATGCGAGACCGTTAACTCATATAAAGTTATACCTACACACTATATTCTGAATATGATAGAGAGGAGTAAAGGGTCTTAGAACCATACAATATATGTAAGTCATTAAATAAAATTTTTATATGTTTTGTTTCTAAAAATAACTTTAAATTTTATGTATATATGGTACGATTTGAAATTTCGAGTCGTGGGTGTTATAGCGTTAAAGTGTTCCAGTGACCGCGTGTCACACTTCTATTCGCAACATCGCCCTTCTCTAGATACAATCGATGACCGATAAATGATCTCTTGATAATTCTAGTTCAATTCAACACCGTATTAAACCTGTTGCAAATGGGCTGTCGCTATTAATAAGCTGCCGGAAAATTGTATATTAAAATAATATCGGCATGCCTCAAAACCCATTGCGCGTGGGTAACTGGGAGCTGAAGGGCATTCTGGGACAAGGTGGCTTTGGTGAAGTTAGGCATTGGATAAATCGCACAACAAACCAGGAAATAGGTAAGAGGAATATGTGTACGTGATTTCGTACAAAAATTATATACCTTTGTATATATATATATATGCACAAACATACATCAATGAATACACGCGCCCAATACTAATACACACATGAAGTGCAAGCCGATTCCTAGAATTCGCTGATTCAAAAATTAGTTTGTTTATTTGTTGCTGTGCTTGTGTCTCTCTCTCTCTCCCTCTGTCTTCTCTTTTTAAATGTTAGTGCTTGAGCTGATAAGTCAGTGAAGGAAACCGGGAGACCAGACCTTATGAAACTTAAGTTGCTGCCGATGCGCTGAGTCAGCTTCGAAACTACGTTTTACTTTAAGAAGCGGCGGATATTCTTGGCGATATTTAATAGTTTGTTTATCTTAACAGCCACCAAGCACATCAAGGGGACAATAAAGAATCAAACAAGCGCTGATCAGCAGCGTACGCTCATAACCCGATGGCAGCAGGAGCTTAAATGGACACTCCAGTTTCAGATGCCCTTCATTGTGGCCGGCATTAGCTTGGACGACAATGCGGGGGAGTTTGTCAAGTATTTGAAAAGTCATCACATTTGGGACCTGCCGGTTATTATTCTTGAGTATTGCAATGGAGGCGATGTACGCAGCCTTCTGCAGAGACCCCAAAATGTCAACGGTGAGTCCCACCATAGGAAACTGCTCCTTTGCCTAGAGAAGCGAATATTATCCATGGCTGTTAAGACGACTGAATATTACTTACGTTTGATATTTTACAGGTCTGCTGGAGTTTGAAGTTCGCGAGATTTTGGGTTCCCTGCGACAAGCTGTTGATTTCTTGCACACGACCTGTAGAGTCTGTCATCGCGATCTGAAGCCGGACAACATTGTGATACATCGACTGCCCAATGGCCGTAGTCTGTACAAGCTGACAGATTTTGGTTTAGCGCGTGCTTCGCCGGAGAATACCATTCAGCAAAGTGTGGTGGGCACAAGACATTACTATGCACCCGAAGTGGTGGACACCGGCAAGTATAAGAACACGGCCGATTACTGGTCGATGGGGATCATTGCCTACGAGGTGGCGACTGGAGTGTTGCCATTTATACCCCACCAAAAAGCGTTCAATATCCATGTTAATCTTCAGAAGAAAAATCGGGATTGTATTGCAATAACAGAGAATTATCTGGAACCGAACAGCTTTCACTTTCATACCGAGATACCCGTGGGTCATCACCTAAGCCTGCCTTGGTTGGCACGATTTACAAAGTGGCTTCCCCTGGCCCTCGACTACGAATATTCACAACGTGGCGCTTTAGCGGCAACTGATGAAGTACAAAATGGATTACCAGGACCCGCCATATTCACAGAGATCGATCGTATGCTAAAGATAAAAGTGCTGACGCTTTTCTCAGCGTGCAGCTACAAACGCTTAGAGTACGAAGTAACGCCTAGCACGACAATGAAGCAATTGAACAGTTTTATCGAAAGAGAAACCGGATATATATGGCAGACGAATTACTATGTGCTACCCACGGGTCACCCACACAAGCGCTTGACCAAGAGTACCACACCCATGGATCTTTATGTGGAAAAATGGTGCGATAACAGCGAAGAGTCGCGGAACCCACCAGTCATGGTCTACATTTTTAACATCACGGATAAGTGCACATATAGGGCACAGCAACCAAAAATGCCGAATGTCATTCGGCATTTCATAACTCATTCAAATTATATGAAATTAGAAAAGTGGTTAAAGGACCACCTTATCTCGGAAATGCATCATTTGCTCAACACGGAACATGAACTTGTAAAAATGCTGCTATGTGGATTTAAGGAGTACGCATTGACTCTGGAGGACGAAATACTCGAACTTCAGCCATTCGCTAAAGCTGTAGAACTAAAAAAGGACATGTGCTGCGGTGCCATACAGCAGTTCCAGCTACTGCTGACAGATGCACAGGAACAGCAAAAACTCTATTTGGTAAACAATTAACTATAACTTCAATTTTATAATAATTAATAAATATCAACTCTATTCTTTCTTAGCCCGACAGTGGAGAGTGGCAATCCAATTTGATGAAAGTAAGCAAATATAAAGAAGTCATTACTTTCGTTGAAAAAGTCATAAATCATTATGAATCTACGTTGCGCGGAGTTCGCAGCGTCTCCATAAAGGAGAGCCAAGAGATTAATGACACTATACTTGGTAGTGATATATATAAAATGTCCGTAAATAGTTATTATTCAAATTCCCCAATTTAACAATCCAGCTTTTATTGCAGCAAAGATTTTCAGAGGAATTATCTCAACCGTGTTGACGTAACGTGCGAAGAGTTGGCTAATATTTCCCTTAAATTTGCCCAAGCACGTCACGCTTTTATCGAAGATATAAAAATAAAACATTTTCGCGATGGCACAAACCAGACGCATCTGCGCTACGCGAAATTAAAAGATACTCTAAAAAATGCCCATGAGAATCTCATGGCGGTTCAACGGCAGCTACTGGCACACCAATTGGAAATGCTGCCAAGTGCCAACCGAAAGCACGAGCAGCCCATGTATCAGCTGAATAACGCGATGAGCCGGCTGAGCTTTGATGTCGGAAACGGCATCCACGAACCGGCAGCTAGTTTGGATGCTTTCGATAGTCTGTCCGCCGAGAATGTGATTGCCAAGGCGTTGAGCATCACCCAACTGTATGTAAACTGATCTTGGTGTAGTGATTACAATTTCCAATTAATAAGATACACAACATATTATTTCAGGTTGGAGAGTGAGATGGACATCGATCGGGATTAGCTTCCTTAAGCATAAAATGCCTTCAAGATTACTGTTTGATATTAGCTAAAGTCAGCATTATTTTATATATCTAGCTACAATGCTTTAATTTGTTACATTTTATAACTGTAATTGACAGTTGATTTAGAGCTTTAACTCGTTATAATTTGAGTCTGGCTCTTGTTGAACAAGCTTTATTTTTTTAATTGTATTACGCATGCTATACGTTTTAAGTTTGTTTATTATGTATATGCATACATGTATGTGTGCGATTTGTTTCATTATAACATTTGACTTCAATATTATTATAAAATATATATTCTTCCACATCATTTAATGTTTTGGTTTTACTTTTTATAATATCCGGTTGGCTGTGAAACATGATATTCTCGAACTAATTATATTTATTCACTTGGCAAACAAAAATTTCTATTAAGTGGTAAACAGTAAGTCTGTTTTGATTTGTATATATCAGAAGTTTCCCAGAATTGAGCTAGTTGTAAGTTTGCGGCGGCTTATTAAATAAGTCGTTATATTAATAT